ATAAATAAAGGCTTAAGAACTTGGCTCGCATATTAACACATAAATATAATATGTATATATATCAACTGCATTTCCCATTCCAATTTTAATGGAATTAAATAAAATTAGATTTATGTGGATTCCATTTCATTTGTCACAGAATATAATTTACCAAACCAAACTAATATCTCCAAATTTTATGAGCCCCATTTATATTACAATAATATTATTATCCCTATGATATTGTTTTTTTCTGGATTAACTGCGTAGTTCCTACCTAGTCTTTATATATATACATACAAGCAACTTATAATAAATATCACCGTAAAAACCAAGCAGAGGTGTGTCACAAAAAAAAATGGCTCAGAAATATTATATTTTATATCCGATACAATGGCGCTTAATTATGTGCCAAAGTTTTAAACTATAGTAATGATTCTAAATATAATATGTGCATACCGTGCAAATATGATTTATTACGAACACGTCATCAAAAAGCTGTGCATTTATTTATGTCCATATCTTGTGTCTCTATCTGTAACACTCACTCTATCTCTAATATATAATACCGTTATTATTATTATGTATTTGCATTATTTATTACAGCTGGCCGTGACAGTGGACGAAGTGTACGGCGAACAAGGAAGTTCTGCGGGTGCGTTTACGTCCTTGACCCTAGGATACTTATATCTGGGTGGCAGTGAAAACACCGTTGCGTTACCTGGCACAAAAGCGAGTACAAACTTCGTGGGATGCATCCGAAAAGTAAAATATATGAATATTATAATATTTTATGGTAGTTTAACTTCACGTAATAATTATTGGTGGATAATAGGTAAACTCTGTTTATAATTTATGATTTATAACATTCGTTTCAAACTATATTTTATTGTTCAATTTTACTAATATTTTATTCGTTTATTCGTTAGGGTAGACTACTTTTCTCAATCTGTTTTTCGAGATTTTTTTTCCAAAAATTATTTTTCTTAATAACATTTTTCCAAAAATKTCTTTTACTTGGAATCATATTTCTCAATACAACACAGAAATGATTTATTACTAATTTCATGATGTAAAAGTACAATATCAAAATTAGGATGTATAAATAGTATTATAATTGGAAAAAAGCGGGTAAGTGGATGTCACTCTGTTGTACATTAGATTACAAAAAGGAARGTTAATGCAGTAATGGATGTTATTAAATTTGAACTCAATGATATAATATCATTGTATACGAAAAACTATTCAAAATGGAGATAGTTTATCAGTCTAGGATATGTTATGCAATAGTAATTATATTGTTATTATTAAAAAATAAAAAATAAAATTGTTTTTTGTATGAAAGTTGATATTTTATACTTACTGATATCACAAACCATAAATATATATTATAATATTAACCAACTACCTTTATTTATTTATCATTCATGGTTTGTTTTTGTATCAATAATGTGCTATATTGGTCTTTACCATATTTATTGTATACTATTATAATTTATAGATAATTATATTATATAGTTCATAAATATTGCATTTCATAAGTATATTCATAGTTAAAGRACGGCACATTAGATATGCAAAATTGATACATTCATGTTAAAACATATTTTTGTGACCAACTGTTAGAATTTTTGTCTAAATTGTATTTAAATATAATTTACTAATTACATGACGTTTACGTTAAAAATATTACAAGGTCCTTACTTACTACAAAATTGACCTAAATTACTTAAAATATACATTAGAAAAATAATATTTCTTATTGCATTGTAATAAGAATATTACTAAGTGTAAAMGATATGTTGCGTGTGAATAATTCACTACGGAGGCTTTTTAACGTTAGTCAGATAATTAGTAGGTAGTAGGTACCCGTCTAACAAAAAATCCAATGGTTTTAAATGATGGACTTTAGTTTAAAAATWAAAAATATTATAAATAAAAATTATTTGTTTATTTTGAATTATAATTTTTCATTAAATTGAACATTAAAAATTATTTAAGAAAATATCTACACTATTTGTTTGTAAAAAAGTAATTTTAAACTATAAAGACATAATAATATTTTCGATGCCCAGGATTAAATTCAACTATTTAWACCACCTTCAAGCCAAATTTATTTAAGATCTCGTTGCCAAAATAATTATTTTTAGTGTATTAATTTGCGATCTTTGCGGTGTTGTAACTTACTTTTATAGGTGGAGTATACATTCGATGGAGTAAATAAATACGATTTCTTGGAAATGGGAAAAACTGGCATTTCGACTATACAAGTATATGGCCGATTGCAATTTTCGTGCCAAGACTTTGGAATGGACGATCCTGTGTGCTTGTCTACGCCCCGATCATTCCTCGTAAGTAAAACTATTTTATTGATCTTAGAAAAGCAATATTACGCTAGTAATTTTTGATACACTGTAAAAACAATATCGAATACATATACATACGTCATACATATTCTTTTTATTAAAACAATATCATTGTTTATAAGATTCATATTTTTGTAGTCCAATGAAACCACATAATTCCTCATCATTAGCGTAATTAATGTTACCTTTAATAAAATGATTAATGACCTACATAAATCCATCCATTGTAATAATTATAATAGCATTATATTATAATGTAGGTACCTATCATATWATTTGCTTAAGAAATCTAATGATAAACATTTTTATATTTAAAATTTGTAAAAAAAAAATATATTACCATATCTATTATACACTTACCTATAATTAATAACTCTTGATTTAATTTAT